ATCTTCAATAAAGAGAGGCATACGAGTTTCTAACAAATCATCATTAATTTCTGGTGCTAAATTAATAGGAACCTGGTTTCCTTGCCTATCAAGAAATTCAATAGTACTATCAGTAATACGGAGAGATTCTACAGAAGACTCTTTAATATACTTCTGAAGACGAAGAAGGAGTTTTAAAATAGGCGTAGTCAGTGGACTCCTGTGATGACAAATAATATTTTCGAACAGAAAAGCTGCTACTGTTTCAGCATCAGCACATTTAATAGCACATGCCTCAGGCAATCGAGTTAAGTATTCGGTCGCTACAACTATATACTGATATTCTTTCGTAGTAACAGGAAAAGGTCTAACGATATCGATATCTATTCGATCAAAGGGTTGTTCAATTCGAATAGGGTGAAGAGGTTCTCTAGTAACAGGTTTTTCCTTTCTTTAACACGAGTCACATGACTTAACATAATCCCGAATATCGTTTCCCATCTGTGGCCAAAAATATCGAGTAATAACTCGCTGGTACATTGCTTCTTTATTGAAATACCCTGCTAAGGGATCTGAATGTATTGCATATAATATGGGTTCAACTTCTTGTGGCTTCAATATTCATAACGGTCTGAGAGAGTTCCGGGGGTTCTTCTTGTATAACAGTCCTTTCCAGGCGAGATAATGACGTGTTTTATGCTTCAAAATTCTAATCTGGGCACTAGTATAACTAGAAGGTACTGTAGACTCACTAAGGTACCTTAAAAATAAGTAATATGTATCTAAATCCATAAAGTTTTGTTAATCAAAATTTTGGGTAATCCGAAATCGATATCGTCAAAGTTCAAATAGGAGTAAAAATAAAAAAAATCGATTGTCTTAAATTTGTGAAAGACTATTGGCATTAAGATATATTTTTTTGGATCTGTGGATGGTAGTAAATCTATACTCCTGCAAGGTCAGGATCTACCTGGCCAGTCGATTCTGGAGTAGCCGATGAGAAAATAATGATTTCAATGCAGAATGATCTGTATAAAGTATAAAAGAAACTCTATGAAGATAAGGTCTAAAATATGAAACAGCCCAAACGATGGCAAGACACTCTTTTTCTGTTATAGAATAATTTTTTTCAGCTAGGGTTAAAGAGCGACTTGCATAAGCGGCCACTCTTTCTTTTCCATTATCATCCAATTGAGAAAGAATAGCGCTTAGTGCTAAGTCTGACGCATCCGTAAAAAGGATAAAAGGTTTTAAAAAATTCGGATATGCTAAAACTGGAGCTGTGATAAGTTTTTCTTTCAATTCCTCAAAAGCTTCTTGATGCATTGATGTCCAATGATATCCAACATTCTTTCATAGTAACAAATTTAATAGAACTGCGATTCTTGTAAATTCAGAGATAAATCGTCGATAGTAAGACACTAATTCTAAAAATCTATGTAATTGTCTCAAATTTCGAGGAACAGGAAATTCTTGAACAGCTCGAATCTTTTCTGGGTCAGTTGATATTCCTTGCGCGCTTACAACATACCCTAAAAATTTCAATTCTTTATGGGCGAAATAACACTTTTGGGGCTTAATTTTTAAATCTGCTTGCTTCAATCGTAGAAATACTTCTTTCAAGTGATCTAAGTGTTCTTCAAATGATCTAGAAAAAATGTTAAGATCGTCAAGATACACGACAACAAATCTTCCACTTATGTCGCTGAAGATTTGATCCATTAACCTCTAGAATGTAGCCAGGGCATTCATAAGTTCAAATGGCATAACATTGAACTCGTAAAGTCCGTATGGTGAAATAAATGCAGTCTTTTCTTTATCATCTTCGAATATCTCGACCTGCCAATATCCACTGGCTAAGTCTAACGACGTGAACCAAGATGATCCATTCAAAGTATCCAAAAGTTTTATTTCGCCCATAAAGAATTGAAATTTTTAGGGTATGTTGTAAGCGCGCAAGGAATATCAACTGACCCAGAAAAGATTCGAGCTGTTCAAGAATTTCCTGTTCCTCGAAATTTGAGACAATTACATAGATTTTTAGAATTAGTGTCTTACTATCGACGATTTATCTCTGAATTTACAAGAATCGCAGTTCTATTAAATTTGTTACTATGAAAGAATGTTGGATATCATTGGACATCAATGCATCAAGAAGCTTTTGAGGAATTGAAAGAAAAACTTATCACAGCTCCAGTTTTAGCATATCCGAATTTTTTAAAACCTTTTATCCTTTTTACGGATGCGTCAGACTTAGCACTAAGCGCTATTCTTTCTCAATTGGATGATAATGGAAAAGAAAGAGTGGCCGCTTATGCAAGTCGCTCTTTAACCCTAGCTGAAAAAAATTATTCTATAACAGAAAAAGAGTGTCTTGCCATCGTTTGGGCTGTTTCATATTTTAGACCTTATCTTCATAGAGTTTCTTTTATACTTTATACAGATCATTCTGCATTGAAATCATTATTTTCTCATCGGCTACTCCAGAATCGACTGGCCAGGTAGATCCTGACCTTGCAGGAGTATAGATTTACTACCATCCACAGATCCAAAAAAATATATCTTAATGCCAATAGTCTTTCACAAATTTAAGACAATCGATTTTTTTTATTTTTACTCCTATTTGAACTTTGACGATATCGATTTCGGATTACCCAAAATTTTGATTAACAAAACTTTATGGATTTAGATACATATTACTTATTTTTAAGGTACCTTAGTGAGTCTACAGTACCTTCTAGTTATACTAGTGCCCAGATTAGAATTTTGAAGCATAAAACACGTCATTATCTCGCCTGGAAAGGACTGTTATACAAGAAGAACCCCCGGAACTCTCTCAGACCGTTATGAATATTGAAGCCACAAGAAGTTGAACCCATATTATATGCAATACATTCAGATCCCTTAGCAGGGTATTTCAATAAAGAAGCAATGTACCAGCGAGTTATTACTCGATATTTTTGGCCACAGATGGGAAACGATATTCGGGATTATGTTAAGTCATGTGACTCGTGTTAAAGAAAGGAAAAACCTGTTACTAGAGAACCTCTTCACCCTATTCGAATTGAACAACCCTTTGATCGAATAGATATCGATATCGTTAGACCTTTTCCTGTTACTACGAAAGAATATCAGTATATAGTTGTAGCGACCGAATACTTAACTCGATTGCCTGAGGCATGTGCTATTAAATGTGCTGATGCTGAAACAGTAGCAGCTTTTCTGTTCGAAAATATTATTTGTCATCACAGGAGTCCACTGACTACGCCTATTTTAAAACTCCTTCTTCGTCTTCAGAAGTATATTAAAGAGTCTTCTGTAGAATCTCTCCGTATTACTGATAGTACTATTGAATTTCTTGATAGGCAAGGAAACCAGGTTCCTATTAATTTAGCACCAGAAATTAATGATGATTTGTTAGAAACTCGTATGCCTCTCTTTATTGAAGAT